CTCATCGTCCCGAAGTGTTTTCTTCTCAACCGTTTCTAGCAGCAAAGAGTATCTCTGCAAACGTGTAATGGGGGTCTTGAGGAAATGTTGCCATCCCAAACGTTCGGAGCGTTTGTGTCGCATGACCTGCTCTAGGAAATTGCGGAACAACAGATTTCGGTCAGACTCTTTCCGCACCATATACTCTGCATACGGGAATTGTGACGCATAGTCAATGTAGATGTCTTTGGCCTTCCGAATCCATTCACGGAAGAGATCGGAGAATCCGGATACCCAGGGGCCCTGCTCTTGCTGCCGGTACTTGAGCTGTGCTAGAAGATTGTCCTTGTTGACGAGCTGAACGGCATCTGCCTTCCCAAAAACGACTTGAAGGAACTTATCAATCTTGTTGGGTGGAATGATGGGAGGCTGAGAGTTCCGTAGATGATCTCGGTAAAGTACGCGAAGAACCTCAAGCTGGTTGACAAAGTACTCTTCACTGTTGACGATCTCGTGAAGGACGTGCTGACGCTCAATCTCCTTCTTGGGCTTTTCGGCGAGTTCGGCGTCTTGAATCTTATAGTGAACATTCCAATCCGCCGGCTTGACCTCGTCGAGGAGCATATCATCCAGGTTGGCCTTTCTGAGCGTCCTCATGCAATGGTGCGAGTAGCAGCGTCCAGGCTGGGAGTCGTCGTCATGCAACTTCGGAGCATAGCAGCCGTAGCCCGTTAATTGAGGCAGGACTCCGGATATTGTACCGCTTCCGAACTTGACCCACTCCTCCTCCGGGACAAGAACTCCGGCGTCCAGCATCAGCTGCGACACGAGAGTACTTAGAAGCTCGGCATCGGCAACATTGATGGTTGGAACCTTTTCGGTGAACAGCTTGAGCAATGCCTCTTCGACAGTTTTCTGCTTCAAGTCAGGTTCGCCATCGGCCATTTCGCGAATCCATGCAGCGATTCCACTAAGAGCCCAAGGTTCAGAGCACCTCCTGATATCGCCAGAAGTAAGCTTGGATGGCACAAACTTCCTCTTACGGCCGCTAGGTAGCGTAATCATATCATATGTCATTGATGACGGAGTATTCGACTCATAGCCATCATATGGTAGGCCTTGTTGTGCCGCAAGCTGTTGTTGCTGAGTCTGGTAGCGGGCCATCTTCCTCCTTTCCTCTGCAGCATCTGTCCGTGATCGAACAGGAGCTTGTACTTGAGGGGTGTGGCTGTGGCTCGATAGGGAAATGGATCGCTCTGGGAATGGAGAGTTGAGTCCGGTAGAGCTTCCTCCATAGTAGTCTGAACCTCCATCGTGTAATGTCCGCGAGTCTGTGCTAAGCGAGTGGGAGTGGTAGCTGCGAGTTGTTGGGTGAACTGAGAGTAGAGAGCTTGTATCGCTACCGGGACCGGGGGGGAGCGCCGGAAGCGGTCTGTTGGAAAGTCCTGGGTGGTAATAAAGATCGGGATAATCCTCCTTGTATGGCGACTCGCTGCCGCTCTGCTTCGAGTGCAGCGATACGTGTTCATCACCATCGTCGAAGCTCAGCCGGTGGGCGGAGGGTGCCTGCAAACCGCCAGTACCGCCGTAGTCAACTTCAGCATCTCGGAAAGCAGGGGCCCGTTCGTAGGCCTCGTGAGAAACATCGTAGTCGTTGGGGTTGGGCAGCGGCCGTGATCCATCCTGGCCTGGTGTTGGGACAACTTCGCTGCCGTATGCCAGGTTGCCAGCATACCCACCAGCGAGCGCACCCAAGTCCATCCCGCCATAGTCGGTATCGTCGCTCTGTTCTTCGGGTGGTGGTGGAAGAGGGTTCATGTTGACTGGCTCGGGGAAAGCAAATGGCACGCTGCTGAATCTCTTGTCGTCCAGCTCTGCCTGCTGCATCGCCAACACCCCCGCAGTTCCCTCTGGGTCGTCATCATCGTCGTCATAATCGAACGTGGGAATTGGAGCCCTGTTGGCCGTCGGCGCGTTCGAGGTTGGTGCCATGCCGGCGGTAGCCAGATCCGAGTTGTACCGCCGTAGTCCTTGAAGCTCGTCGTCAGAGAACTGTCCGTTGATGGGCATGGGACGGTGCCGGCCGCCCAACTCAGCCTCGATGTCTTGAAGCAGAGAATCTTGTAGTTGAGCTTGGTCCTCGTCTGTGGGAGTGATGGCGCTCGGGTCCCAGGTGGGCTCTTCCATCGGCCGGCTGGGTAGAGGGGCATTGGTAGGGTGTCGTTGCAAGCCGGGGGAGTGCTGCTGCTGAATCTGCGGAGACGGAATCGGGGATGCTGCCGAGTCAGACCTGCTGTAATAGGAAGAGGGATCGGCGTAGTTTGGCCCGACGGGCATCGACGACTGGATCGGGTAGGGTGTCTGCGAGGTATCCGAAGCGTACGACGCTGCCGAGCTGTGGCCGTTTGTCGGATAAGAGTTGTAGTTGTTGCCGTAAGACTGCGAAAAAGTCGAGTCGTAGGTTGGTGCCGGCGAAGTCGCGGATGGCGCGGAGGGGAAAGTGCCCTGGTATGAGGAGGTAGGTGAGTGGCCGAACCCCTGAGAGGACTGAGGAGCTGTCGGAGAACCGTAGCTTTGGCTGTAGTTGTTGTAGCCTGAGTACGTTGGTTGACGCTGAGGAGCTGTTGTGCTCGCATAGGCAGCCGGGTTATAGGCGGCCGGCTGGTAGCTAGGCTGTGTTGGAGCTGTGTATGATGTCGGCGAAGCGGCGGATCCATATCGGCTCGGGGGACCGGGGTGGTATGGGAGAGATGTCGATGCCGTCGACGGCGTCCGCGCAAAGGCCTGGGGGTTGTAGCTAGAGTGCGAAGAGGTTGGAGGCGAGGAAGCTTGGTACTGGTGTTGGTAACCGGAAAGCGCATTGTTTGTCGAGCCGTAGCTGTGGCGGCCTCCAGAATGGCTTGACGTTGTCGGGCTTGTCAAAAAGAGTTCGTCTTCGCCTCTCGAAGCAGACTGCTGATGGCCACGAGCTTGCGCCCGGCTCTGATCGAACATTGCGGCATCGTCACCATTGTTGAAACTCGGCCGCCGCCCGAGGTAAGCCGACTGATCTTGCGACTGGTCGGGTGTGGGGTATTGTACCGGGGGGATATGGCCATAACGGCGCTGACCGTCGCCTCGGAAAGACATATCGATCGCGCAGGACGAGGACAACGTCGGCGTGACTATTGGTAAAAATTTGTCCCTGGAGCAAGCTGCTACGTCGTCGACCTAAGCAGAATGCCGGGTTGTGCTCGATTGCATCTGTCCGTAGCGAGCTCGATGAGACAGTTGATCGCTATACGGTGCGGGTTCGTTATTCGCGGGTTCGTCTATACATGCGCCAGAGAGAGTGTTGTTGTATGTTGAGCGATGCGGTCGGGATGGGAAGTGAATGTTGGTAAGTTGTACAGTTGTTTGTCCGGATGGTCGCGGGGTGAGCCTCGCGGGTGGTGCTGTTGTGCGGCGCAGGCGGGCCTGGTAGTAGGACTGACGTCTTTCGGGCTACCCTCTGGGCAGTGATGTGCGGCGACGGTAATTTGGAGGAGGTCGTCGGGCTGATGTAGCCTACGGTAGAACTGACAGGCACAAGGCGACCGTCGCGCGGCAAACGGGGGCGTTGAACAGTCGAAAGGGCGTCAGGTGGTAAAAAGAGCGGTGCGACCTCGAAGACAAATACAAATGCCCAGGGAAAATAAGGGTCGGGTGCTGTCAGAAGGGCTCTTGGTCACTTCACTGAGTTGGATGGTGAGGAAGAGGTGAAGCAGTGAAGCAACGAATGACACGGTGCGACACGGTGCGTCTGCCTGGCGGCGAGAGCGAATACCAAGCCACAAGAACGGGGCTGGAGAGTCGTCACAGGAGTCCAGTCGCAAGGTCAGAATCGTCGGGGTTGGCCTGCGGCTGGCGGTGGTGCAGTGCAGGCAGGGTAGCGTAATCTTGCGAATCTTGAAGTGAATGTCCGAGGCTGTCTCCCAGGATAGTGCTGGTCTTCCTGAGGTCTTTGCTTTCTTTCTTTCCGTCTCTCGTAATCCCTCTCGCTGCGTCTGCCTTCGTAGACCAGGACGTCGAGTCGCACGTAGTTCCGCGTTCGTCGTGTGCTGCGCTTTTGCCGTCACCCTCGATGTCTGACCCTGTGGGAGTATGCGGGGTGGGCGACCGTACGGGAAATTCCCGTGGACGACTGGTCGACTGTGTTCCTTTCCCAAGTCAGATGACGATGAGCGATGGTTTCGTGTCGGTCGCTTTGCAGTGTGAGATATGCAGAAGAAGAGAGACAGCACACCTCACTCTCTGTGTTCGCTAATGATGAATTGGGACCCAGGACCGGTAAAGGTCAGGTTAATAAGGTAATAAGGCACCTGTTGAGAAGTTATGAGTGCAGGTATGGGCGCGGCGCTGGGACCAAAATATGAGGCACCAACAGGAACAAACTGCCCAGAAAAGGAATTAAGCCAGGTAATGACCTAGCAATCCGGCCGTCATGTGTTGTGAAAAAGGGCCCAGGTGAAGAAGAAATTGAAGCTGGGCCGAGAGAGTCTTGGCTTGGCCGCACCAGAATGAACTGGGACGGACAGGATGGGGAAGATGAGCGAGGACGTTGGACTGGATCAATTGGGTGGACGAGGTACCCCCACTGCTTCTGGGAGGTGAAAAGGTACTTTGTCCGCGTAGCTTCCTATGAGCGTCGCGGTGTGGGCTGGGCTGGGCTGGGCCGACTTGACTGATACGTCCAATTAAGGTACGAGTACGAACACCTTACTGTACGTACTGTACTTATTTCCCAGGCGCTCTCTCTGGATCGGTATGCATCACCATCACTCTTTCTCAAATATCTTGGAAAGCACTATATAGTAAGGTACCTACCTCAAACGGAGAAGGAAGGAAGTGGAGTGACACTGGAGAAGACGGCAGGACCGGGGATGAGAATTTAAGGTGAGAGCGACTCTCAGACACTGAGGACCGTGGGTTCAGTCGCCGTCTGATGTTCGCAGTCTAACTTCCCATCAACTTTACTTTCGTTCCGGTCCCAGATGAACACAATGGCCCAGTCTCAAAGTCAATGCTGAATTGGTTCGAGGACATACTCCGTACGTGCGATCTCCGACTGACCGTACTCCGTATCCCGTACAGAGTACCAACAGGATGGACAAGCTGGAACAGCACGCGGGGGCTGCGAGCCAATGGCCGACGTTGATCTGTTTCGTTTCCTGCCTTGCGACATTCACCCCTTCTTCACCACCGAATACCACCTTACCACCTCACCACCACTTTCTCACCAATTTAGGTCGTTTCGCATTCTTTTGGCGTTTGCTGTTGTCTTCACTGCTGACAACCTGCCCGATAGACGATGAGGATAGAGTGTTGAGGACACACAAAATTTTAGTAACTGATCACTCATGTCTCTTATAGGTACTCATGTGATCCCAGTAGCGGCCCATCGCGTCGGCTCCCCCCCATTTACCACCTCCTTCTTTCAGTCTCGTATTTCGACTAACCGCACACTTGGGCTGCACGACGGTTGGATGGCCCTGTCCAAAACCTGGCCGCACGGAAAATTCCTACAATTCGGGGTCCCTGCCGGGTGGATATTAATCTGCTAGCGAACCCCATTCTCGTATATCCTCCCACAACGTCCGACAGGGGGAAATGTGTTGCGCGGCCCGCGGGAGATCCAGCTTCATCAGTCGTCGTTTTGGAAACGAAAAAAAGGAAAATGCTAGTCATGCCCGACCTATCCGCAATGCTTTTTCGTGTCTCTCGATAACCTTTTATGTTCCCCGTCACACAAAGATGCACTCGCTGAAGACATTCCGGTGGAATGTGCTGTTTGGAAAACCGAAATTTGGTTTGCAGAAACTCCCCTCCGCCGACCCCAGACTGAGGGTTCCCTGGAATTCCTGTGTGCCCAATACCATACTTCTGAAAGCATGGCAAGGAGAACGTCAACTATTACACACCACGTGTCCCACCGGGATCGCTGCCATGGCTGCTAACCCGCGCGTCGCGTATCCTTGGCCTTCCCATCTCCTGGATGTCTCACTCAGTTGACAGCCCCATCATACTCGGAAACGAGATGCCACTTGGAGCATGATCTCTCTCAGCATCTTTGCATGCTCGCATCGTATGCCAGCCAGCCGTTCTGTATTACACCATGGTGAACGAAACCCATACAGCTGGGTTACTCGACTAATTACTACAAAGTAAAAAAAGCGACCGTACTGTGTAAGCTCTGTTCCGTAGGGCTGACTGCATCTGGAGAGCACGGCGCCACGGGATTGGTCTCCTCAGCCGTCAGCATCCCCTAGCCGTCAAATTGCCTATCTTGACTGGTCGACTGGTTCAGACTCATGCAGGAGGCATGGCGGGCACCCCTTATGCTTCAAGTCTGTTCCAGCTGCTCACTTCTGTCCGTCTTTGGAGCATCGTCTTCATTGTTCGACATATACGACTGCATCTGGTTCCGAACAAGCCGGTGCTGGCGACATGGACGTCGATTGGGGTAGTCATGCTTGATAGTGAATCTTCAGCTATGAGCCGAGGTTGACCACAGGTTCCAGGGATGATGGTAGTTCGAACCGACCTATACGGACTTACTCGATGGTTCTATAGGCGTTTGCAACCGCCTCCAGCGCCCTCGGAGCGTCGCAGAGTAGATCACTAGTAACCATCGTTCAGGTCTGTCAGATTCGGATCTTTCATATTCGACATGTTCCTGATCAGTGCAGAGCAGTCATGATGTCAAAGAAGCTGTCCGCAAGAGCGGCCTCGAAACGACCCCGCCAGCTATATGGCCAGAGCTCCATGCTAGCGTTGATGATAACGGATAGCGCATGACGGATAATGGCTGAAGCTCTCAATGGCACCTAAACTCTATCGACCAAATCTGACCATAGGGGAGTCGCACAGGACCGAGTCGGCTATAGACACCAACCAGTTTTGGAATGTACCTGGCTGCCTCTCGTGTCATCATCAAGATGCTGTATTTATGGCTGATCACTTGCGAGTCACAGACCGGGACCGAATATGGAGGCTCCGTGGTCAACGGTATTTCCAAGCCACTCCCGGCACTTTCAGTCATTGAGGTACGCCGTGTTGCTGACGGCGCCGCTGACCCTGCAGCAGCTATTCGCCAAGCTCGTCGCTGTTCAAGCCACAGTTGAATGGGCTTTCTTATGACTGGTCAACTGTGGCGCTGGCGCGCGCGATGCTCAAAGAGATGGTAGGCCGAGAATCGGCCTTCCTCTACCTTCTTCTTGACGGCATGTCCTAGGACAGAACTGGCAGGATCAAGAATACGGTAACAATTTCCATTGTTGATTGCCCGCAATCGCAGTGCCTTCCTCTTCACCATTGTATTGCACCATTCATTTATTTGTAAGCATCCCGGAGAACTGCTAGACAGTCAGCCAACCAGATGCTCCCGAAGCTCAACTCTGAACCCACTTGGACCAAGATGACGGCGATGAGATAATGTTGGAGCGGGGCAGCAGCTTCCCCCACCATCCAAGCGCAAGCTGGGCGTGACAGCGTGTGCTGCTGGCCATTCATCGGGACTTGGACCACGGCATAATACCTGCTAGAATCGGAGAGGAGGGGTAGATGCCGGACTTTAGGGGAAATTCCAGCGGGCGAGAAATCGAGCAACCTTGCCGTGTTGCTGCTTTCCAGTGCTTCTCTGATGGAAGACAAGGCGAGGCGAGGCGAGCTTGTGTCCCTCGGAATTCCGAATTGTGCCTTTTCCTGCTTGGGTACGGAATACCACGCCTCGTCCCTCATTGGGCGTCCACAGAGTTCGCGCAAGCCGGCCGTCGGTGTCCGCTTCTTTCCATTCGCAGTGAGGGATCCGTCTTGAGTGAAGTGTTGTGTGTGAGGTGTGTGTGTGTGTCTCTTCTCTTCCCCAGTGTTCCCCCGTTTGAGCTCGCCCGTCTCAGAGACTCCATAAGGTACTTTCCCCTTCTTCCCCTCTTTGCACCTTGAACCTTCATCATTTCCCTTCTCCCCAACATCTGCTGCGTTCACAACCACACCCGCAAAACAACAAAACCAATTCAAACCCAAACTACCACCAAAAGCATTCAAAATGGTCAAGGCCGGTAAGTGTTACTCTATTTATACACGGGAACCAACCTTCCCCGTCGGCCTAGTGCAGAGCCGCAGAGCCGGGGATGGAGGGGTAACGAAGCCCGACCATCCAATTTGCGCTGGATTGAGCGGGTTTTGGAACGACGTGGGAGAGCAAACACCCTGATGGCTCCGCGACGTGCCTACGACTGGGAACCAGCTTGCCGCTGGCCAATCTTCAAGCTCGATCGACTCCATCCTCGTGTTCCTTGCGCCGTCTGCTGTCGATCCGTTTGGTTCGGATTCAGATGGTTCCCGTTGCTCCCGTCGTGGGGAAGCCCAACGGGGGAGGGCTCCTCGAAGGGGTCGGAAAGGAGGGGATGGTCTGTCAAGATGCGGGATGAATCAGGTCGCTAACTTTGGCTCCCAGTCGCTGTCGTCCGTGGTGACTCCAAGGTCACCGGCTCCGTTGTCTTCGAGCAGGAGTCCGAGTCCGCCCCTACCACCATCACCTGGGACATCACCGGTAACGACGCCAACGCCAAGCGTGGCATGCACATCCACACCTTTGGTGACAACACCAACGGCTGCACCTCTGCCGGCCCTCACTGTAAGTATCCTTGGGAGACGAACCTGAAGGAACGCCATCAGTCGGTCAGAAGCAAGGTAGACAAGGGCTGATCACAGAACGCTGCAGTCAACCCCCACAACAAGACTCACGGCGCCCCCGAGGACGCGAACCGCCACGTCGGTGACCTTGGCAACATCGAGACCGATGGCCAGGGTAACTCCAAGGGCACCGTCACCGACAAGCACGTCAAGCTGATCGGCCCCGAGAGCGTCATCGGCCGCACCGTCGTTGTCCACGGCGGCACCGACGACCTCGGCAAGGGTGACAACGAGGAGTCCCTCAAGACTGGCAACGCCGGTCCCCGTCCCGCCTGCGGTATGTGATCACCATTGCTTTTGTCGTTCGAGAAAAACTAATAATCGGTTTCAGGTGTCATTGGTATCTCCAACTAAGCTTGTCGTACCTGAATAGCTACCGTTGTTTTAGGACAGATTGCCATCTGAGGTGGGGTTTGTCAAGCTTTCGAAATGCTTCATTTCATAATGCTCGCCGGCTGTATTGAAGGCAGCTGAAAGTTGATAGTAGCAGCCTTCAACCGTAGTATGGCATCCTCAAAAGTAAATCAAAAAAACTCACTGTAAACCGTATCTCTAAATTGGCATGGTAAAAATGGCATCAAAACTGAAGCTGAGTGCTGAATATCTAGCGGGAGTTGCGGGGCTGGTCCTTGCACTGTGAGGGGTAGGAGATGACGTGAACGCTGCTAATACTGGCACGATGGACAGTTTCTAAATATTTCAGAGACGAGTGATTCTACGCAACAATTTGAAGTAGTATGATGACACTATGACTGATAAACACTCAGCAGTCTGCTCCTCATCAATCAATCAAACGTTCAATGATTACCTGTGAGGTATTCAATACAATGCAAGCCAAGTGACGCATTGTTGTTGTTCAAGGGGGAAGCTGTCCTTAGCAACCAAAACCGCAAGTGCAACACCTTACATAAGGTAGCTGCAACCCCGCTCTCGCTTAAGGGCTCCCGCCACTGCTACTGGCCACCGGCGAGCTGCTACCCCTGCCTCCGTGTGGACTGTGGTCCCTGAACTCCTTTCCCCACACTTGCTTGCTCGAGACCGGGCGAAATTGAGGCAAGCTGTCAAAAAGGCGGTACGACTGTCGAACGTTTGAATCGAACAATCGTCTTTTGCTACTACTCCTTTCCAACACAACTCTCTCCCTCTCTCCCTCCCCGAGAACCATCTCTACATCCTCTCTCTTCGTTTTTCTTACCAAACCATTTTCTCATTTACCGGTACGTTTTACTGTTTTTCCTTCTTTCCAATGGCCTTTGGTTCTCTGGGCATTGAGCTTTCCCCTGCAGGGAGGGCGGCAAGCTGATGCTTCTACCCGGGGGGAACTGCACCTATCCATGCACTTCCTAGACAGCCTCACCTGAACACAATGTCTTTCTCTTTGATGTACTTGTGCGATCGCAGTCAAAGTCACTCAGAAAAGCTTGTGACTTCAACCCAAGCTGTCAATTGCAGTTCATGGGTTGCTTTTCAATGCCTGGAGCTCTTTGCTTCAGAATGTCTGAGACGGCAGGCAGGCACGAGACACGCAACGGTCACCGCAAACAGCTTGGGATGGGCAGCGCGCTAACTACCTGTGAATCTCTATAGTATATCTTCTCAATAGCACCCGGTCACTCCTTGATTCACCCATCATGTCGAAGCCCTTTTTCGCCAAGGTCAAGAGCGTCCTTAGCGGCGATACCCTCGTCTTGACCGCCCCCAATAACCCCAGAGCCGAAAAGACCTTCTCCCTCGCATACGTCACGGCCCCTCGCCTGAACAAGGAAGGCGATGAACCATTCGCTTTCCAGTCAAGAGAACACCTCAGAGAACTTGTCGTCGGCAAGCAGATCCAATGCACAGTAGCTTATACCGTACCTTCTGGTCGCGAGTTCGGCACTGCTCTGCTCTCCAAGGATGGCCCTTCTCTCCCCGATGAAGCTATCAAGGCTGGATGGCTCAAGGTCAGAGAAGAGGCTGGCCGCAAGGATGACGACGAGGCTACTACTCAGCGTCTCGACAACTTGCGCCAACTCGAGACCGAAGCCAAGAATGCCGGCAAGGGTCTCTGGTCTAGCGGTGGCGGCAACATCCAGGTCCAGAATGACCTTGGCGGCCCTCAATTCATGAACGAGTGGAAGGGAAAGACCGTTGACGGTATTGTCGAGCGTGTTCTGAGCGGTGACCGCCTCCTCGTGCGATTGCTCCTTTCGGATAAGAAGCACGTGCAGGTCATGACACTCTTGGCTGGAGTTCGTACCCCTACCACTGAGCGTACGATACAGTCTACCGGCCAGACCCAGGCTGCTGAGGAATTCGGAAACGATGCCAAGGCTTTTGTTGAGGAAAGATTGCTCCAGCGTCGCGTAAAGGTTGATATTGTTGGCGCCAGCGCTCAAGGACAGTTGGTGGCAGCCATCATCCACCCCAACGGCAACAAGAACATTGCCGAGTTCCTCCTTACCGAGGGTCTCGCAAGATGCAACGACTTCCACTCCACCATGCTCGGCGAGAAGATGGCCGGCCTCCGCAGTGCTGAGAAGACGGCCCAGGGCAAGAAGCTGCGCATCCACCAGCACCACGTTGCCAAGGCTGACGGCGCCTCTTCCGATATGATTGTCGCAAAGATCATTGGCGCAGACACCATCATTGTTCGCAACAAGGCTGGTGACAAGGAGCAGAGAGTCAACTTCAGCAGTATCCGCGGCCCTCGCACCAACGAGGCGTCAGAAGCACCCTACAAGGAAGAGGCTAAGGAATTCCTGCGCAAGAAGATTATCGGCAAGCATGTCAAGATTAGCATTGATGGCTCCAAGCCTGCTTCCGACGGCTACGAGGCCCGCGAGGTTGCCACAGTCACGGAGAAGGGCAAGAACGTTGGCCTCGAGTTGGTTGAGGCTGGTTACGCGACTGTCATTCGTCACCGCAAGGACGACACTGACCGCTCTCCCAATTACGACGAGCTCCTCGCTGCCCAGGAGAAGGCCAAGGAAGAGAAGAAGGGTATCTGGTCTGGCAAGGCTCCCAAGATTAAGCAATACGCCGATGCTTCCGAGTCTCTGCAAAAGGCCAAGATCCAGCTCGGCACTCTGTCAAGGCAAAAGAAGGTGCCCGCTATTGTTGATTTCGTCAAGTCTGGCTCTCGCTTCACTATCCTGATTCCTCGTGAGGGCGTCAAGCTGACGCTGGTATTGGGTGGCATTCGTGCTCCGCGTGCCCCGGGCCGTGGAGGCGACAACGGCGAGGAGTTTGGTCAGGAGGCTATTGACCTTGCCAGCCGCCGATGCAACCAGCGTGACGTCGAGGTCGACATCTACGACATTGACAAGGTTGGAGGTTTCATCGGTGACCTGTACATCAACCGTGAGAACGTCGCCAAGTTGCTTGTCGAGGAGGGTCTGGCATCTGTCCACCGCTACTCCGCCGAGAAGTCTGGCAACGCTACCGAGCTGCTTGCGGCTGAGAAGAAGGCCAAGGAGGGCCGCAAGGGACTGTGGCACAGCTGGGACCCGTCTCAGGAGGAGGAAGAGGAAGCCGAGGCCGTCGAGACCACCAATGATACCCCCGAGGCGTACGAGAATAAGCCCAAGGATTACCGCGATGTTGTTATTACCAACATTGACGGCAACGGAAAGATCAAGATCCAGGAAATTGGCAAGGGCACTGCTGCGTTGACGACCCTGATGAACGACTTCAAGAAGTTCCACATCAACGCGGCAAACAGCAAACCTATCGGCGATGCGCCCAAGGCCGGTGACTTTGTCGCCGCCAAGTTCTCTGCCGACGGTGAATGGTACAGAGGCCGCATTCGCTCCAACGACCGCGCAGCCAAGGTTGCCGAAGTCGTCTACATCGACTACGGTAACACGGAAAAGCAGCCCTGGTCCAAGCTGAGACCTTTGGACCAGCCTCAATTCACCACCCAGAAGCTCAAGGCCCAGGCAATTGATGCCTCGCTTTCATTCCTGCAATTGCCCACTGCGCCGGAGTACTTTTCGGAATCCATTGGCTTCATTGCCGAGTTGACTGAGGGTAAGGAGCTGGTTGCCAGCTTCGACTTTGTCGACACCAAGGAGGGCGTCAGCTACATCACCCTCTTTGACTACAACGCGGGCGACAAGAAGCCGGGCCCGAACGACTCGATCAACAAGGAAATTGTTGCCAACGGCCAGGCCATGGTGCCCAAGAAGCTCAAGGCTTGGGAGCGCAGCGGCCAACATGCCGCTTACCTGAAGCACCTGAAGGAGGTTGAGGCCAAGGCTAAGGAGGAGCGCCTCGGCATGTGGGAGTACGGCGACATCACTGAGGACTAAATGCATCGGATGGGGCATTGGGAGGAATAGTTTTGGGAGGGTGGCGGCGGTTTTAGGAAAACACAAAAGTCACTACATAATTCACAGTAGCCTTGCATGAATGAATAGGCCATATGAGGCCTTGTCAAATCGCCGTGTCCCTTTGCAGCATTCAAGTGACTAGGTTTACCCCTTGAACAGGGCATACATGTTGCATTGCATTCTCCTACACAACACAGATCGACAGCATCTCCTACATATCATATACGCACTTTTAGAAAGCCTTCAAGATTATGAGCCCGATTAAGATGATTGTGTAGGTAGCCGAGATATATAGACTATGTGCCACCACAAGCTAGGCTTACGATATACCACCACTTACCACCACTACTGACGTCGCCAACACGTACATAATCAACGAATTTTTTCCGTCATAATGAACCATTTCTCTAGAGGTGGAAGCAGACTTTCGTACAAACGGATCACCAGAGTTTCTGGCTTACTACGGCCTTCAAATTCCTTCTCCTTCCTTACCGGTAATTTTATGAGTGTCCTGGAAAAATCTTTATAACCGGCGGCGGCGGCGGTGGTCATGGCAGTTGTCGTGTAACGGTAGACCGAGCTGGCAATGGCATAGGCATATGGTAAAGTCAATACTGCCAGACTACAAATTCAAATAAAGACTCGCTCAAGATTATTTGTTCGGCGATATCGTGACTAGACTGTTGAAGTATGACCCCATGCTGTAGTTGCTCAGAAAGTGTCGAGCTGAAATGTCACGATGTTTCGCAACAGCTTCCTCGGCATTACGTAATGCAGTGGTTGCAACTTCCTGGTGCCGTGGTGGGCTTTTTGGTCGGGATCGTCGGCCGGTCGGCTCAAAGAGTTCCAGGCCTCTCAGGCGATGAGAATACTGGCGAGTCCCGAGTCCCGAGCGGGAAGTGAAAGGGGGCGGCTCCGTTTTCTACGCACGCCAATAGTTCGCTTAGAATAGAACTCACGGAAACTGGATGCGCTGGCTTGGCCGCTCTCCGCGAGATGGCGAGGGACACCTCTTTCGAATGTACGAAGTAGGTTGGCATGGTTGGGTGGGATATTGGTGGGATATGAAAGTAGGCGGTGGAAGGTCAGAGAATACCGGGGACCGGAGTTTCCTGATTCGAAGTGGGGGTCAAGAGAGGGCGACTTCGGGGGAGAGTCCGGGCTGGTCGCTGGTTCATTGGTGGCTGGTGGCTTCGAGCTCGCCAGACATTGGCGCGGAAGTGAGGGAACTGGGCGGCAGTAAATATCCCACGATAACGGCTTGTCTAGGTAGGTCTATTGAATTTTTCTCGTACTCGTGCTCCGTTCAATTTTCCCACTGCTGTATACGCGACTGTTGCCGCAGGTATGGGGTCGCGCAGTGAGAGTCTACGGTCTAGTTTACGGTCTGCGAGATAAACCCGCCATGACAACCGAGGGGCGATTGAGGCGGCGGGCGGATCTGACGGATAAAGTCCAAGGGTGGTAAATGTCTTGCGGGGCCAATGAAGAGCGATGGCGAGCACGTGGTGGAAGGCGAGAAGCACGACGGACTCTCGAGTCTCGCAGTTAGGAGGATGGGCTGAGTCACAATGCCAAGTTACCTTTGGTTTTGCGCAATCTTGGGGGTCAATATTTTGGTTGAGACGAGGCCCAGACCCAAGTAGCGTAAAAGAGCCTTTAAAATATCTAGGTACGGGCGGTATGCCTCTTTCTTACGGTATCCAGTGTCGAAAACAGAGAGATTGCGGCAATGGTGGGTTATTTGGGCCGAAGGAGATGGCTCATATTTCCGACATGAAGAAACGACGGCAACGGACGTCTCAAGCGAGCTAGCCAAGTGCCTGTAATTAGGTCGCATTCTTACTTGCTGAAGTCCAGCGTTGATTAGAAGCCGCCGGAACGGGCGGGGGCCACCTACGGCGACGGCGGGATGGGAACGGCGATGGCGAACGGCGGCGTGTGACCCAGCAATTTTGACATCGCCTAACACCGAAGAGATGATACATCCATGGAATCCCGCCCATACGGTACTTTGAAGGCTCTGGATCTTGAGTCGGGCCTACAAAGACGATATCTGGTCTTCCGGGTTCTTTCTGTTCGCCCCATATTGAAAGAACCCGGGCAAGCTGCTTTATTCGCTTTTTTAACGCCTCAGCCGATATCTTCCTTGGTTTTCGTCTATCAGGAACGATGGATTACTCTGATGAATGGGGTTGGTTGTCCTGAGCGACTCGAAATTCCCATCCACGGATCGCGATTCGCGATTTTTCTCCGTTTTCTATGGGTACCATTACGTCGAATTCCCTCGTCTCAAGGGCCTGTGCACGTACGAATAAGCAGCAGCCTCGCAGCAAGCGGGTAAAACCAGACTCCAAGAGCGTGAGAGCGATTTTTTAGAAACCAGCCTTGGCTAGCATTGAGGATATCCGACAGGGACTTGCGACAGCCAAAAAGCGGAACCGCCGATGTGAATGTTTTCGGATCCAGTGAAAAGTTACATTCAACAGTAGATAAAATGTACAGCAAGCAGCAATGGCCAGCAGCATTATTCAAAACTGGCATCGAGTTCCACGGAAAATACTGGGGGTATGACGATGATTCTGGGTCATGGAGGGGCGGATGGTGATGGGGGCTCCTTACTTTACGGATACCTCTATCGCTGGGTCGTGCCTGGTGCTGCAAGCTGAAGCAGCAACTGCACCACCAGCACAGAGCACAGCACACCTCAGCACTCTGCAGCAGCCTTACTCACGGCCGTCTGCGAGGTGTGGGTCACCACGACGTAATAATACCCCGCCAAACGGTGGGCGGGGAGGGCCAAAAAAAAGGACAGGCCGTGACGGTGACGGTCAATGGCTGATGTAAGTAAGTGTTAGCACTCGAAGCAGAGAGCATCCAAAACGGTACAGAGTACCTTACGGAGTAGGGGCCGACAGATGAACCAACAACCTGCCTCTCCAAGCAGTCTTCAAGAAGTCAAAAAAGAATTTGATCGACATTCTAGAAAAAACTGCATTGGATAGCCTAGTCAGTTGAAATGGTACAAGGAACACTGGGTCCATGTTCCTAAGCTGCCAGGGCTCTTGGTGATGGATACGGACGGGATTCTGCAGCATCACAGCCATTCAATGTACCTGAGATACCTACCGTCAGCTTCTCCCATCTTCGGGGAAGGCGCGGCGGTTTTTGCTCATGTCATGTACCAAGGTCCAAAGGTACGAAGTACTCTCAGATACGTGACACTTTTAGACCCACACTAGGGGGGGCGGCTACCGTCCATCGTCCGGGCGTGAGAGGTGTGAAGGTGCGAGGTGCGAGGATGAGGGACAAATTACCCCTCGCCCCCGTCCCCCGGGGGAGGTACGGTACGGTGCGGTACGCTTGTTCCTCAACAAAGATCTACTACTTCAACGACCTCATATCCTCTCTTCTTCTTTTTCTCTCCTCTCCTTCTCCCTTCTCTTCCTCCTTCAAGTCAATCTCCCACCAACAACCGCCACAATTCCTTCATCAAACATCACCATGTCTTCCTCTCTCGACCAGCTTAAGGCCACCGGCACCGTCGTCGTCAGCGACTCTGGCGACTTTGCCTGTCAGTCCACCCCGCCTTCTTTCTCCCCGCCATTCCCCCAAAATCTCTCAAAAACTTCCTGATCATCATTTCGCCACCACAACCTCGATCCATCACGGCCAACACGGTCAATGGATTGGGGCATGATACCAATGCATAGAGGATATTTGCTGACTCTACGACTCTACAGCCATTGCCAAGTACAAGCCCCAGGATGCCACCACCAACCCTTCCCTCATTCTCGCCGCCTCCAAGAAGGCCGAGTACGCCAAGCTAATTGACGAGGCCGTTGCCTCCGCCAAGAAGCAGGGTGGCTCCGTCGACGAGCAGGTCGATAACGCCCTCGATGCCCTTCTCGTCGAGTTCGGCAAGGAGATTCTCAAGGTCGTTCCCGGCAAGGTCTCCACCGAGGTTGACGCCAGCTTCTCCTTCGACACCAAGGCCTCCGTCGACAAGGCCCTGCACATCATTGACGTACGTCTTGCTCCTCGACGTTGAACAGTTTTGAGCAACGTTGCTAACAACCACCCCAGCTGTACAAGGCCCAGGGCATCTCCAAGGACCGCGTCCTGATCAAGATTGCCTCCACCTGGGAGGGCATCAAGGCCGCCGAGATCCTTCAGCGCGACCACGGCATCAACACCAACCTGACCCTGATGTTCTCCATCACCCAGGCCATCGCCGCCGCTGAGGCCGGTGCCTACCTCATCTCCCCCTTCGTCGGCCGTATCCTCGACTGGTACAAGGCCGCCCACAAGAAGGAGTACACCAAGGAGGAGGACCCCGGTGTCAAGTCCGTCGGCACCATCTTCAACTACTACAAGAAGTTCGGCTACAAGACCATTGTCATGGGTGCCTCCTTCCGCAACACTGGCGAGATCACCGAGCTTGCTGGCTGCGACTACCTCACCATCTCCGTACGTTTGCCACCTCTCAGTGTAACTCCAGATGCCTCACAGAACCAGTGACTAACACGTTCACCAGCCTAACCTGCTTGAGGAGCTCCTCAACTCTGACGCCCCCGTCCCCAAGAAGCTCGACGCTGCTGCTGCTTCCAGCCTCAACCTTGAGAAGAAGTCCTACATCAGCAACGAGCCCCTCTTCCGCTTCGACTTCAACGAGGAGCAGATGGCCGTCGAGAAGCTCCGTGAGGGTATCTCTAAGTTCGCCGCTGATGCTGTCACCCTCAAGGACATCATCAAGCAGAAGGTCCAGGCATAAATTGTCTGTCCTGATGCGGAAGCGATGCAACCATAAAAATGAAAAGCCACGCCCGCGGGCAAGACAACTTTCCCGTTCGGAGGAGAATATATATCATGATGTGAGAATGACTTAATGAGAAGGAAAACAAACAAATCCACCCCATCACACACATAACACACCCCCAGCAAACAGCGCGTCAAGTGGTGGAAGAGGCGCTGAGTTGTGTGTAAGTCAACTTATTTTTTTCGGAGGGAGGCATAAAATCACAAAGATAGACTGCTTGGTAGCAAAAATCCGAGAAATTGGTCTCCCAATGTCCTGAGTTCAGAACGTGAATTTGTATTGCTCTAATGACTAAAACGCCTAGTGGGATGATGATGATGGTGATGCTTTTCTTCATTACGGTAGTTGCTACAGTCGCGTTTCAATGCCTTATTTGCGCGACTTGTTTTGTACAATGCAACATCTCTTGGTGGTGGTTAAGACGTTGGCGATGGCGATGACTTCTAGGTATACCCATATTCGGCGTTTCCCCCCTCCCTTTGTGATGAGGGGAGATGTTGAGCAGCCAGCCCACATAGACGCAGATGCAGATGCAATTGTTTCTCTCTCTCCTTCGTTCGGGGTTATCCGACGTGGACATGCCGTTTGCTTGATTTGCTTCTCTTTTCTTTCCTCTTCCTCTTAATAAAGGATTTTCCTCCATGCTGTTCCCCCTGCATTGGGGAAGACGCGTTTGATCTCTATGACTTGGCCTCATCCACCTCCTCGCTGCTCTTCTTTCCCTTCTTGCTCTTCTTATGCTTCTTGTTCCTCTTCTTGTCTTTCCGCCCCTCGTCCTTGTTGCACTTTGTGCTCTTGATGGTATGCGTGACGCCGCCGTCGGCGGACGCCTCGATAACGAGAGCAGTCAGTTCCCCGCCGTTGACGCAGCCCGAGTCGAGACCAAAGGTAAACTTGTCAATCTGCAGACCGCGCTTCGAATCGTGGCCGTAGGCGACGGCGGTGCGGGGCTCCTTCTCGGGCAGCGCCTTCTGGTGGGCGTTCCACGCCTTGGGCCAGCTGCTGGAGCCGTCGCGGCGGTCGGTGGGGATGGCGATCTTGCGGTCGTGGGGTTTGCGCCGGCGCTCGTGCTCGCGCTGGATCATGGTCTCGGTGACGCCGGGGGCGGCGGTGTGGGTCCTGCGGTAGTCTTCGAGGGCGCGGTGGGCTTCTTGACGGCGGAGCTCCTCGCGCGGGTAGACGAGGCCGCGCATGTTCATGACGGCCCAGGGGTCTTGGTGCTTCAGGGAGAGGCCTGGGACGAGGCCTGCGTGGACGACGACGAGGTTGCCGCCGATGGATTGTACGGCGCCGACGTCGAGGATTACGGGGAGTGTGGAGAGCCACTTTAGTTGTTTGCGGGTGAGGGAGCGGGCGGTAGCGCGTTCTTTGGAGTCGCCGTGGGGGAAGATTGAGGGCTCGAGGTCGTCTTGCTCGGTCTCTTCTAGGGAGGCTTCGTCCTCGTCTTCATCCTCGCCGTCTTCTCCTTGGTCTTCGGCCTCGGGTGAGACGTTGTTGGTGGGGGATTCTTCAGGCTTCTTTTCCTCCTCCTTGTTCTCCTCGGCCTTGGGTTGCCCCTCCTCCTCTCTCTCGGTGACGGGATTGCCGTGAGCGTCCGAGTCGGTAACGTAGGTGGTCTTCATGTTCTGGTGCGCGAGCAGCACGCGGTCCTCGTGGTTTCCACGCACGGCGGAGGCGCCGAGGCGCATGGCCAGGTCGAGGACGCCGCGGGAGTCGGGGCCCTTATTGATCATGTCGCCGGCAAGGACGAGGTGGTCGCCGCGGGACTTGTCAAAGTGTAGCTCCTCAAGCAGCCTGTCGAGGGAAACGCGCATGCCGTGGACATCGCCAACGACGATGAGCCTGCGGCTCGGGTTCTCGCGGGAAGGGAGGTGACGCTCCGGGAGGTTGGCGATGTGGACGGAGAGGTCGGTGAAGCCTGGGCGAGCGGTCTCGCCGTAGGACATGGGCGCATCGGCTGGTGAGGGCTCGGATGCTGTCTTCGCGGCGGGCCGGCGGCGGATGGCTGATGTGAGGTCTAGAGAGGCGAGGCGGGCTGCCGCCAGGAAGATTGTGGTGAGGATGAAGAAGGCGGCGACGCAGACCACGCCACGCCGCGGGCGGGTTGGAGCTGGGAACGACATGGTGGTGACCTTCTTTCACTGTGGATTTTGGTGTGTGGGTAGGTCTTTTCCTTTTTTTTGCCGTCAAGGTTTCCCGCTGCGCAATGTGTTGAGACGAGACGAACCAGCCTGGGTTTGTTTGCTAAACCCACGACGAGGTTGCACCACCACTTATATGGGATTCTTGTCGTCTTTCGGAGGTAGGGTGTCGAAGCGGATACCCTGAACCTTTAAAGATGAGGACCTCGTGGGTTTTGTATCCGTAATGGTGGCGGTAGGCGCCCTTCTTTACCCGTGCCGTGGTTATTGACCCAAGCTTAAACCGCCGCAAGCTTTCGTTTCGAGATTGGGTTTACGCGTGCGGGTTGTGGCGGCGCTGGAATGGACGAATTGGGGACGGGACGGGACGGGATCGTTATCTTTGACGTATGCGGATGGTTTGACAGCGTCGAAGGTTTCCCCCAATGTCGAAAAGTATGGGATTCTGGGGGGTGAGGGAGGCCGCGTGTACAGAAATGGGATGTCGCTCTCTCTTTTTCTGCGAGTAGTTCTTATCGCATTGATGGAAAGGGGCCCGGCGCAGTCGTCGTCGTCGTCGTCCGACAGGGGTGGCTGCGCAGGCGTGGATCTTTAGGAGAATTAGGGACGTCGGAGATGTATTGCCTCTACAGTCTTGTATCCTGGGTATCCGTAAAGGAAATGATAAGGTAGGGAAAAGAATAGGAAGAAACAAACAATGAAGGAAACTCAACCGAAAAGGAACAGGCTGACAGGACACGAGGGAAAGAAAATACCAAGACGTCTGGGCGGAAACGAGGGGAGGAGGAGGGATGTCAGATTTCGCCAAGAGAATTTGGAAGAGGAACCCGAACACTGGTGACTGACCAGGCCTGCCAGGACCGGAGTTAGGTAGGCAGGCTCACCTTCGGTGCTTAGGTCCTTCAAGGCTTCCATAGGGGCCAAGATGGGCTGTTTGCGTCGCCAAGTCGAGTATTCTGGGTGCAGATACGGTGCAATCCGCTGCAAATTGCACCAAATCTGCTCGTCGACTTCTGGGAAAGTCGGCACGCGACGTGGCATACGATCCTTGCGACCCCTGCAAGTTCCCGCTGGGCGCCTTCCCCGTCCCGTCAGCAGCGTCAGCACCTGCACCTTGCTGATCTGCACCCAAATTAATCCTCTCTCCCAATAGCGCGTATCCGTACTTACTGCCTGCACAACTGCACGGAAGCCATCACTACTGCAGCTACAGTCAGTCTGTTTCGTCCAGTCCGTGGGCATGGGATCAACGTGGGCGGGCTTGCTCCCATTGATTGCTGCCATTGGCCCCCGCGGATGGGAAAAGACAACGGCGGGGCGGGGATGGGGCAGCCGGGCGGAATCTCAGAATGCATCGCCTTCCACGTTGCTCAAGGTCAATTCCTAGTGCCCATCATTCTTCTCAACGTGCTAACTTAGAGTTGCTTCTTCTCTAGACTCTAGGCTACTCTTTGGGGGGAACCCCCAGCTGATCTACAGTCAGTACTGCTGACGATCGGCAGGGCTGAGTCTCCAGCCTTGAGTTAATCCTGTCCACTGAGACATGAACCCTTCGCGCAACATTCTTCTCATTCTTCGCCCGAGTCCCACTTGACAATACCCTTTGTATCACACACAGCCGTCTCCTACGGGGTCCCTACTGATTGCTCAGGTGCTGCCATTCCGCATCTTTCCTCAAGGCTCCGGGCGGCGATTTCATACCATGGTGCCAAGGTAGTACGTCACTGCGGCACAGCGTCCCATCTCACAAGTTCCTCAACGAAACCAATTAACCAACCTCCCCACCCCTTGTCTGGTGCAATAGTTGCGGCCTCGGCGTACACCCTCTTTGGAAGGTCGACTTGCCGAGTTATCCAGAAAACTTGGAGCTAGCTTGGTTGGCCTCCAATTGTCTTAGAAGATCTTAAGAAAGTGAAAGTTCGAGAGCTGGGGGCGGCTTGATAGAGTTGAGCCCAGTTTAGCAGAAAGTCTGCCGTGCAGGGCTAGCAACGGCAGCTAAACTCCCTACGTTTAAGCTCATCCCGGCATACAATGTAGTAGCCAAACCTTCCATATCTTCGGGACGCCTTTGTAGATGTGCCGGCTCACTCTCTAGTCTAGAGAACTTAGTAGATACTCGAGTGAGTTGGCAAGTGCTCATCACCTACATCTAATTCGTAGAGGGGGCAGACGAAATTCAGAAACGTGTCTCTTCATCGGCCGCAGTGACTGTACAATGTCGTTATCAGAGTTTAGTGGTGCCGAGCTATTGGCCACAAAGCGCTACTCTCGTCGCGGTCACAGTGCCACCACTAGCCAGGCCTGTCCACAAATGAGTGCGATTTGAGAAAAGGAAACCTCCAGAGTGATTCCCCGTTGAGAGAAGAGGTCAAAAATGTAATATTGCTCAAATTGGCAAAAGAAATTAACCAGCATGGGGGTCGAACCCACAATCTCCTGATTCCACGGTGTATCGTAGTCAGACGCCTTGCCATTGGGCCAACCGGCCTGACAATTGAAAACATCTAAGATGTCCGTCTTGGGAGCGCAGCTCGAAGTGCGGTTCAAGTAGTCCGCAGCCCCGCTGGCGCGCGAAGTTATCGGCTTCTTCAGTCTCTTCCGGTCGAGTGCGATCCTAAAGTCGAAGCTGAGATCAAGGCTTTTGATTCTTGAAGCTTGCCGTGTAGAGTTGAAGGGGTTTGATTGCTTCTCTTTGACTAGACAACAATGTCAGGGATTGTCGACTTCAAAGTTGGCAGAAACCATGATTTGAGGTTGACATCTTTGTTTCCGAAATGAACTGTTGTAACAATACAGTTGGACTTTATCGAAGCTTTCCTGTCTCTCGCCACTTATCAATACCTGAGAATACAGTCATTCGTCATATACTCTGTCTCGAAACCAAGAGAAGTTACTGGCTTCTTTAGGTCTACCCAGGGCCACCAACCTCAGAACTCCCACTCATTGTTAATACTTCAAGAGAGCCCGATTTGGTCCGGAGGTCGTTCGGCTCGCAAACCTCTTGTGAGGAAAATAACCCGATATTTTCGAACTGTATTTGATTGATTTCTGACAGAAGAGATATAGCCACAGATGCTTCATCGTATAATGACCACCCTGAAGCCGCTTCCTGGCAACCTTCCGACATTCGCTCTCAATAGGTACTCACATACAGAAGTCTGACAAACACAGCAAAATGAAGACACTCACATTAGTAGGAATCGGCCACAGAGACTGTGGTTGGACAACCTTTATCCGATCCCTATTCGAAAACCTAGGTGACTACGCAGCCGCTCAGGACAATGACATCAGCATACACACAGCCAGCCTCGATGAACAGAACCTCCAGATCCATCTCATCGATACACCCGGTCTCTCTCCCGACAGGCGGCACTTCCCAGACACCAAGACACTTAACTACATCAAGACCCGGCTCAAATCTATGGACACACAGATAGACGGCGTCATCTACCTCCAGCGCGTCATGGGCCTAAGCAACGCTAACTACGCAGTTCGTAACCTGAACGCCTTTTTCGACGTCTTCAGGTCCCGTCGGCCCCGATACGCCGTCGTCGCTGCCACGAACTGGGACCGTGTCACGAATAAGGCTGACAGCTCGGTGCTCGAGGGGTACTTCTATGATCATCTCGACCGCGTGTGCCTGGCCAGTTCACTGGGAGTACGGATCCAGCGAGCGAAGTTGGGCGACTCGACGGACGCGAGTTGGGATCCTTTAGAAAGTATGAGGTATGTCGAGACGCCGGAGCCGTCTCCGCCGCCTCCACCACCGCCACCTACCCCGGCTTCACGGTCGCCTTTGTCTCCTGCTTTCGACGCCTCTTTGGTTCCCGATGGTCAAGATCGGGAGAGGCCATTGTCTACTACAATTAAAACCATCCGTAAGTATATGAAGTCGAGAAAAGGATTGTTTTTGTATTGAAAGGAGATCTAGCAGCAGCAGAATACCTCCAACAGATTTTGACCGAGCTCGTGTCGGATGGCGAGGAAATTGGCGTAGACCACCGAGTTGAAGACGATCTGCATTGTAGAGACGAGCAGGTGGAGGCAAATTCTGAGTAGGTTGCACCGAGGCTCCGTTGAAGAGGCCTAGTGTTCAGGCTTCTCAAACTGCGTCGTAATGTAAGTTACTCAAGTGGTCGTTGTATCAATGCTGCGGGGCAGTATCATACAAGATGAATTGTAAGCATTGTGATACCCATAGGTGATACCTTGAGGTGTAATAGATGTATTTCTCTAAGGTAGCTACAGAAAAGCGTCCATCGTGTGGCACTTTTGCACACATTTTCTTACGATTGTAGTCGTAAAGGACGGCACTGGTAGTATCATGTACTAGGTAGCTACTGGTACGCGGTCGATCAAGAGTCTTTATGCGAGCTTTAGGTGTGCGAAACTCGAGCTGCACTATATTCGTTAGTGTCCTAATGCACCTTACCATTGTACCAAAGAGGCGGTTGAGATCCTGGAGAATTCCAAATGGCGACATGATTTAAATTGCCCGTTAGTGTGTTTGCATGCAGTTTGTCGATGTTGGAACCACGATAGGCCCAATCAAGCTTGGCAAGGGCGTTTATCCTTCCAGAGTCTCTCATCCTTCAAGTACGTCACATAGTTCTTCACTTGACAAGACAGAATCCAGTCTTGGTTGCGTATTGCAGTGTGTGGCAAAGTCTACCAAAGGTTACCTACTCTTCGGTCGCTCTCTATTGTCTAGGTTGTGAGACAGGATAGGCTGATGGCTGATAAGGCTACCTCGTGAGGTTCTTGTCTAGAGTGCAACATGACTACACAACACACGATGATAGCTCACCGCTCGCATGTTTCGGGCTGGCCAACGCCCGGCCAAGCCACAGCCGAGTCTGACATGCAACACATGGTAAACCGTTGACGGGCTGTAGCGGCTAGATGAATCTCACCCTATATCATGATCTCACTAGCGCCCCGATACAACGTGGTTGAGATTGTGCTTGCCGTCTTGCAGGAGCTGAAAGATAACCGAGATGTAGTGGGATGCTTGATCCTCGCGAAAAGGATTTCTTGATTGGCAACATCATTGTCTGACATCTCGCATCCAACAAGAATTCATCTTGCGCGACTTCCCTTTAGAGACGACGCCTCACGACGCCCCGTTGCAACCTCGTTGTCTCAGCCCCAGTCCATTCCGTGCCGCTTCGGCAGACTTGTTTGCTGCACAAACATCGCCCACCCTAGGCTTCCTTCGACGATCGCGACACTTTATAAAGTAACGATGTCTCGGCCTCCAAATCATGATTCTGCTCAGGTAAGACCGTAGCCTCAGAGCTTCAAACCCTAAGAGTCTCAGTCTCGTTACTTGAAAACCATGTTGCCACATATCGCAAGATATCTCTTCTTTGGGATCGTGGCCCTCGCATCCCTCACCACAGCTCAAGACTCCTCCTATAAAGCAATATGCAAATCCTATCCAGGCACCGCTGACTGGCCCTCCGCAGCAGAATGGGCCCGCCTCGGCGAGTCCCTCGGAGGCGGACGACTTCTCCGCCCGTCTCCTCCGGGAGCTGTCTGCCATCCCGGACAGGACGCCTACAACGAGACCGCCTGCACCGACGTCGAGGCCCGGTGGAACTCGTACGAGCTCCATGTCGACGACCCCGTCTCCGTCGTCTGGAGCAACTTCGCTAATGACTCCTGCCTTCCTGACCCGGCTTATCTGTGCAGCGGTGACGGATACCCTGCGTACGTCGTGAATGCTACCACGCCGGAGCATGTCAAGATTGGTATCGATTTTGGTATGTTGTCTTTTATAGCTGCCTCCACCCCAAGTTTTGAGTGTTGACTGGGGTTATAGCAAGGAAGAATAATGTGAGACTCATTGTGAAGAGCACCGGGCACGATTACCTGGGTAGATCGATCGCCCCTGGCTCGCTCTCCATCTGGGTGCATCATATGACGGGCATCGAGTACCATCCGGATGAGTTCAAGCTTGCGGGAAGCAATATCACAATCCCGGGAAGTGCAGTGACTGCTGGAGGCGGCACCGAGATGTATGACCTCTACAAAGCTACTGCTGAACACGGCCAGGCCATTGTCGGCGGTACCGCTAAGACGGTGAGCGTCGGGGGGTATGCTACTGGAGGCGGCCACTCGTTGCTCGCGCCGCGTTTCGGGTTGGCAGCGGATAATGTCTTGCAGATGGAAGTCGTCACGCCCCTTGGCGAGATCTTGACTCTCAACGAGGCTCAGAACGCTGACCTGTTCTGGGCTATGCGCGGTGTAAGTGTGCCTCACTTTGTGAGATTTTCATCATTACTGATCTCATTAGGGAGGGGGATCGTCGTTTGGTGTTCTCACATCAATCACCTTCGCGACACACCCGTCGCCCCCAATCACTCACACGGCATGGGCAATGCTCACCGAGCTAAGGTCCCCCATCATCCCAGACCTCGCCGCCTACTTCCTCTCAAACATCCCCGCCCTGGAGAAGGCAGGCCTCGCCGGCTACGCCCTGATCAACTCACACATGCCGAATCCCGTCAGCTCCCCGGGCCTCCCACCGAACGCGGCGGGCGTCATCGGCATATCCCTCATGCAGGATGACACGGACCGGGAAGAAGTCAACAGGATCTGGACGTCAATCAACCAGACCGTCATGGAACGCTGGCCCAATGTCACTTTTGCCAAGATCACCACCGAGTATCCGTCCTGGCTTGACTTTTATGATAAGAATTATGACATGAATAAGGGCGGCATCAACAAGCTGCTGGCTTCTCGTTTACTGGATGAGAAGGCGTTAACGGGGGACCTAGACGCTCTTGCTGGCGCCGTGAAGACGGCGACTGATAATGTGGGCGGCATGTATGCGTTTTTGGTGTCCGGCAAGGGTGTGCACAACGCGAAGCCTAGGGGTGGAGGTGATGCGGTTCACCCGGCGTGGAGGACTGCCTACATCCACGCGAGTAAGTCATATTCATTCGTCTAAAAGGAGTCCCCCGAGCTGACTTCTATTTCTCACAGTCACTGCCATTGGATGGACTTCGTTCAATGAGACGTCCAAGAGTGAAGCAGAGAAGAGCATCTATGACTCGGTTGAAGGCTTCCGGCAGTTGACACCTGGTGGAGGATCCTACTTGAATGAGGTAAGTCAAGCATAACGTTCGAAACGACTAGTTTTGGGAGTCTCATTAATGTGTCACAGGGTCTGTCGTATGAGGAAGACTGGCAACATACCTTTTGGGGGACTAATTACGAGCGCCTTCTCAAGATCAAGAAGACCGTCGATCCAGACGACGTTTTCTGGTGCCAGCCCTGTGTCGGAAACGAGGGATGGAAGCAGAGAACTGACGGACAACTTTGCAAAACCTAGATCGGAATACTGAGAGGCTGTACTTTTCGTATCAATGCCGTTCACAAGCTAGAAACATAACTGGGTTATTGCACTCAAAGTAAACCATATCAATGGGTGAAATGGAAATGGCAATGAGATAAAATCAGAAGTCGGATTAAGGTCTACTTGGGCTCTGAAGCCGTGATTCATGACTTTCTAGTCGGGTTCATAGCCTTCACCCAAGGCTTCCAGATATCCTCAATGGTCTCGGGAGAATTCCAACCGTTCCACTCATAGTTGGACAGGCCCCACGTATCGGGCACACCCTGCGCGCCGGAGCGCACACGATAGCTACCGGCAAGTCCCCAGACCATCCAGCTGACGTTGTGCTTGACGGTGTAGTCCCTCAGACACACCTGAAGGGTATCGTTACGGAGCGTATCGTCCTGGCCGTTGCCAAACTCCGAAAAGATGACGGGCGTCAACCGGCTCGCCTTGGGGCAGTCGTTCGTAACATTGCAGGCCGCGGGCTTGTCAATACCCAACGCGTTAAAGCCGTTGCGATAAAGACCCGCTTCGATAATAGGGCACGATCCCGTGTCGACATCCTCGCTCATCTTGTAGAGGTGCAGCTCCCAGACGAGCTTGTCCGCCCAGGCGTGGCTGTCGAGGTCAAACACCTTGGGCTCGCGGCGGGCGGCGTCGCGAATGGCGGTGCACTTGTAGCACGGCGCCGTCAGGTAGTTCTTGCCCGAGGTGAGAGCAGACAGGTCCTGGCCGTACTGCATGCCGCCCCAGAGGATGAGGACGTCCGGGTTGGCCTCGTGGATGGCGTCGGCGCCGGCGGAGAAGTTGCCGACGAGCGTGTCCCAGTTGTAGTACAGGTTCGTCACGTTCCACGACTCGCGGACCTCGTTGCGGAGGGAGAGGGAGACGATGTTGGGGTGGGACTTTGCCCAGTTGGCGACGTAGGAGAGGCCGCGGCGCCAGTGGGTGGTGTTGAAGTTGACGTCGTCGAACCAGGCGTTGCCGTCCGTGTGGGAGCAGCACCACTGGGCCTTGCCGACGTGCACGTCGGGGGAGATGAAGATGCCGCGCTCGTAGGCGGCCTCGACGATGGCGGACCAGATCTCGAAGCGGGTCGTCTCGCGGGTCCAGGTCGGGTTGTTGCGGATGATTTCGTTGGTGACCTTTGTGCCGTTGACGAAGCCAAGGGCCGTGATCATAGCGACTTCGAGCGGGACGTCCTCGCCGTCGCGGTCGTAGATTTGGTCGACCATCTCGATGGCGTAGCCCCTAAGAAGAGTGTGAGCTGGGAGCGTTTCAAGGTGTGCGTTAAAATACACGCATGTGATATTGAAGGGAGCTTACATGCGGATGTAGTTGAAGCCAACGCTCTCGACATCGTCGAGAATCTGGTCAACTGAGGCCCATTCCAGACCCTCAGGGACCATAGTCTCTCCTTCGTGGTTTGTAAGTCAGGTGCTCTTGTGAAGTCTTCACTAGATGTTCAACGTACCACTCATCGGCCAGTTGACACCAGCCCAAGTCACGACATCACCGCGGGCATTGACGATATCACGTCCGCGAGTGCTGAAGGGAGCGTAGGGCCATGAGTTGCCAGTCTGGTTGCCCGCCTGTCTCGGGACGGCCTTGTGAGAGACATAACGAGGCGAGGCTGGAGTCTTCATGTACTGCGCACATGTCGACGACACAAGCGCCGCAAAGGCGATGGCAAGACCCTTCATTGCGGAAACAGAGACTCACGTAAAGACCAACGTGAGAAGCAAAGCTGCAATGAGAGAAAGGAAGGTAACACTGGCGAAGAAGAGGAGGACGGTCTCTCTCTTAAAAGGACGTAACACCCATCGGAGATGCTGGCTAGGTACATCTATGGATGGCCCGGAAGTTGGAGCCATTGGGCAATGGCTTTGTTCGGCTCCGCATCCCCCGCACCGTTATTTTCCTCGTGTTTAATGAGCATCGTCATTCAACCCCGATCCGATCATGGACAAACATCGGCTCCCAAGCTACGTTTGGGTGGGTGCTGGGCGAAGGGGCGGTGGGCTTTTTACCGAAGCTATTTCAACCAAGGTTTGGGGCCGGACAAGGCCAGGATTCCCCCCATGGAAATATCTTCCCCGAGGTGCTCCAGGTGACGGCATTGGGCCGCTTGAACTGGTGGAGTCTTGGAGAAACCTCCTAGCATGGGTTTACCCCGCATTCTATCATGGGGGATGGTGGAGATGGGAAAGAGGAAAACAACCTACTTGCCTGATTCCGTAGTAGATTCTTAGAAGACCTGGAGAGGAGACTTTGTTTTGTTTTTTTGCCGGCAAACGGTGGCCCGGGGGCGGGGGATGCTGTTCGGAGCCGGGCCGAAAATGGTGGTCTGCCGAGACGATATGATGTCGTCTGATCTCCCCTTATTTTGTTCAAAGGCCAAGCTGGAGCCTATCTCTTGACACCGACACCAACAACCCAACATCAAGTGATTGAGTTGACTTTTGTTTGACTGCAGTTACCCTGGTCGATTCAGACCGACTGTCGGACATCCGTGTTCAAGATTGTCTGAAAGCCATAAGCTGACGATTGATATCTCGAAACTCATTACCACGTCATTAGAACAAGACGGAGTCTTATTTCCTTCTCTCTGCAATCGCGTCAGGGCCAACTTTCGCTAGAAGTACAGTTATTGAACCGGGAAAATCTACATGTGCATGCATATTGGAATAGCGCATGAACACGGGACACTAAGCCGCAAGAGGAGAACGAAAGTAGTCTGTACCTATGAGACACTCGCTTCTCAATACAGAAACGGGCCTGATCAAGACCAAAGTCTGCCTTGTATGTTTACCTGTGAGACGAGGTGACCAGAGTAGCCATACGATGTTCTCCTAGGCGCTTTGGCGGGTTACACCAAGACAGTCAGCACTTAAGCTGTGTCTCAACGCACTGAGATACTGGCAGTAATAATAGATATTGTGTGGCGAAGGGTCTGGCTGAGCCAGTTTTCTCAATGATGGCAAGGCAGCAGCGCAGGCAAGTCTGTTTGCACGACTTCAATGGAGGAAACAGCCGAAAAAAGATGGATAATATAAGGCTGTTTACCATCCCAAGACGTGTAACTCTTATGCTGAAAGGATCTCTCTGCTTCTTTCGTATCGTACGTTACCTCAAGGGCCAGCACAGAGGCGAAGCATGTCATCGGTTCGTAGCTCCCCTCGGGAGGACCCGGTGGAAACCGGTGCTGCACTGCAATTGCCCCCCATTGATGTTTCACCCGACCCTCTCTATGTGTCTTCCTCTCCTCCACAAGAAGCAGTTGCTCCCTCCAGCTGCGTGTTCACTCCGGGATCCAGACAGGAGCACAATGAACCGGCTCCTCGATATAGTCTGATCACCGACTCAGACCCAGCTGGACACATCGAGCCACCTTTGCCTCGCGCGAAACCAAGGATCATCGATGGTCGATCTCGCCTTTTCTCTTTCGGCGAATACCACTGGTCGCTCGAACTATCGGCAATTTTATTTAGCATAACATCTTTCGCCGCAATCCTCGTTCTTCTTCCCCTCTACGAGAATAAGCCGTTGTCATCCTGGACCTTCTCTATATCGTTCAACGCCGTCATCTCTATTCTCGGAGCTACGTCCCGGGCCTCTCTGGCATTCGCCATCAGCGCTTGTATCAGTCAGGGAAAGTGGAACTGGTTCCGAAGAAAAGACGAAAATGTCATGGTCTTCGACTGTTTCGAAGAAGCCAGTCGAGGACCCTGGGGAAGTGTTCGACTGCTTTGGTGGACCAAACTTTCGTACGAGAGTCTTTTGAATTCGGACAACACAATCATGGGCTAATAGAGTCATGCAGACATTGGATCGCTCTTGGCGCCCTTTCAGCAGTCGTATTAGTAGGCTTTGAACCCTTTCTGCAAGCCGTCATCGCTTTTTCCGGAGAAGACGTCACTGTCGAAGGCTCAGCAATGAAAAATGGTATTGGAAAGACCCAGAGACTAGACGCGGGAGAGTTTTCAGTCTATGGGTTTGGCCAAACGAGCGTCAAGATGCCAAAGCCCTGGGACTTTTTCAGCCAGGTAGCCATGAAGTCCAAGTGTGACTTTGGCGCAATGGCAGCAGTGTGGGAAGGCTTCTCCGATCTCAGCTCTTCCGAAACTGCAAAGCCAGCATTTGAGTGTCCAACAGGCAATTGTACCTGGGATCCATTCTCATCAGTCGCGGTCTGCAGTTCATGCAACGATATATCACACGCGATGAATAAGTCGAAAGGGAAAACATATCTTAGGGACGAAATCATTACCCTACCGGACAGGATGAACTTTCCCGATAACTTCCTGCATAACTACACCAGATTTGAGATTCCGAAACTAAACCTTAGCATATCAAACTTCGATGGGCTCAGGGCTGTTGGAGTAAACATTGACGAGGAAGTCAGAAGCGCCGAAGTTACCGCACGATCGACTTACAACCCAGGACGAACACTGACGTTTGGACATCTCCAATCCATGATATTTTCTTTCTCTATAATGTCAGCAAGCACCGACTATCGTCAACAAAAGCAGCGTTGGGAAGACAAAGATGTTACGGCCGACGAGTGCGCGCTCTACTTTTGTACCAATACCTACCAATCAGTTGTCGAACAAAATGTACTGCACGAAAAAGTCATCAGTTCTCGAGCCAACCGGAACCTAGACTCCTTCCTTACTGGGGCATACTTGAATAACTTCGCCCTCACCAAGGCTTTCAACGCCTATATGAACTATTCACTTCATATCGGAATCTTGGACTCGCCCCGCACAGATCTACAACTCCTCATTTCTCAGGATGAGTACTTCAACGACACTGGTGTGGCCTTAGAAGAAGATTTGAGGTTCAATATCTCACACAACACCGTTGGCAGCCTCATTGAATGGATCGCTGTAGGACTGACAGGCCGGAAAGACACAGCATCAAACGTACCAGATGAGACGGAACTACTAGTGTATCCTTGGGCTGCGGGCACAAGTCCTGGCAAAACGCCGACGGACATTGTCACCAGTTTTGCAGCTTCGCAGAACATGTCAAGGACATTTGAAACGGTCGCCGCGAGTCTGACAAAATGGATCCGAAATCGTTCGCTACAAAGTGATCCGCACCCGGGGGTAATGAACATATGGGAAATCAAGATCAGAGTGAACTGGGCATTCTTGTCACTACCAATTGGGGCGTTGATAGGCGGTTGTATCTTCTGTATACTGTCGATGTTGGAGACGCGAAGGCTCAGGCTACCGGCCTGGAGGGGAAGCTCCTTGGCGACGCTAGCCCACGGTCTTGACGCGGAGTCGAGGGCTTTCTTGAGAGAGGCGAGTGATAGTGCTCGTATCGCTTCCCAGGCGCGAACTTTGGAGGTCAAGTTTGTCGATTCCGAAGGCGGACCGGAGCTAGTTCGTGGGACCAAGGCTAGCAGGCCCGCCCGTGATGCTGCTTGATGCGTCTGTGTAGCGACACTGTTCATGGCGTGCTGGTTCAAGCGTCATCGGTAGGAGCTGTTAGGGGCGGACGACTCTTTCCTTTCAATCAAATGGAATATCTGAGCAACACAAGTCTCATAGGTCGAGACAACTCAATTTTGCAACCATAGTATCAATATTACACTTTCATTCAAAAGAGACATGATGCATATTCGCTCCACATCATGCGTCGCTTCTCAATCAAAAGCATGCTTTCACTTAGTCAAGCTCTTCTCCGGGTTCTTCTCATACCGGTTACACCACTTCCGCCACTCTTTCGCGGCCTTATGCATCACAACCCTCAAATCCTCCTTCACATCGTTCACCTCCCACGCCTCATCTTCCCAGTTCTTCTGGCCGCGCGTCATGGCGGGGGACCAGCCAATCGCTTCCAAGCATTCGCTGATTTCATAGGTCAGCTTTAATCTGACCGATGGACTGAGGCAGGTGAGTTATGGATGGGAACTTACACTTCCGTGGGCGAAGAGGTGTATCTGGGAAACAGTCTCGAATCGACACGATGACACTCAGCTTCCAGGTATCGTGTCAACACGTCGATGCGGTTGGCCGGCTTGAAGCTGAGCTGGAGCTTGTCCTCCTTGGCCAGCTCGGCCTCTGACTTTTCCGGGTCGATGGACTCGGGCTTCTTGGACGTGGAGGCGATGCGCTTGGTAACGGAGCGCGCTGTCTTGGAGCCCTTGATGGTGAAGTATGCCCACACAGCTGTGATGAGTCAGTAAGCAAGTAGACCAAAATAGGCACGGGTAGTCAGTAACGAAGAAGACTTACCATTGACCTCAAACAACCCAGAGACGGCAATCATAACCAAGTCAATGGCCAGCGAAACAGGAAGCAACCCAGTCGCGATGATGGCGTCGCGCTGCGCCTTGGACTTTGTCCGCATCATGGAGTTGACGAATTCCTCCCTCATCGCCTCGGGCGTCATGTTCATCGAGGGTGAGTACACAAAGACAATTTCCTCCACGCCTACCGTCTTCTTCGTCTCGTGGGAAGTGTGGGCTGGGTCGTCTTCCATGAGCTCGTCTTGCTCGTCCTTGTCGGCCTGCTGTTGCTGCGACCTGAAGTAATCCTCTTCTTCCCTGTCGCCCTTCTCCTCGGCCAACTTCTCGTTCCTCGCCCTCTCATCGAGATCCTTATCCTCGGAGGACTTCTTCTCCTCATCGTGAATCAGGTTCTCTGCATCATCATCCTTGATGTCGGAGCTCTCACGCTTCTTTTCGTCGAGGCTCTTCTTTGTCTCCTTCTCATCCCCCGAAGCGCTCTTGTCCTTTTTGTCCTTCTTCATCCTGCCCTTCAGCGAAAGCTTACGCGATATAGCCGACGGCGGCCTCGCCGGAGGCGTAACGCGCGCCAGGTAATCCAAGTTACTCGTAGTGGTATATTGCATAGCCTTATCCACCCCGCGCGTACACTTGGCCTTGAAACCCGCCCAACTAGTCGTCTTTGCATCGCTCATCTTGGCTTGTCTGACCTCAGTCTGCCATTTCCGCTGCACCTTGTGAGCTACGCCCTCCTTCACGCCCTCAGGCGGCGCCTGGAGAGGCGGAGGCGGGGGCGTGTAAATGAGAAAGCGGGTAGGGATAGCATCAGAGGGCGCCTTGGACCCCAGCCAGGGCTTGGGGAAGGGAACGAGGTATGTGATGAGCTTGTGGGGGTCTCGGCTGTAGTGGATTGGGTTTGAAGGGTCGTCGTTGCCAAAGTCGGAGCCTTGACGCTTGGGAGGGGGCATGATACCTTCTATGGAGGGCGTCCTTGAGAAAGGGGGCGGTTCCTGGCTTTGAGAGAGCAGCTCTGCCACAGCTTTGGGGTGAGGGCGAGCTGGCAAGGGAGGCGGGGGCCCGTTTTCTTCTTCTTCCTGGAGACGCTCCGCGAGGGCGCGGTCCTGGTCTTCGGGTGATGAGAAGGGGTTAGAGGAGAGTGGCCCGTTGGTGTTCCATGCTGGCTGGGTGTGTCGTTGTGGGAGTGGTGGTGATTGGCCTTCTTCCTCTTCCTGAAGTGCCAGGGCCATTGCATAGTCGCGGTCTTCCTGCTCCTGGGCTGCCGGATCTCTACCGCAACCGCCGTGTTCTTGAGCATAAAAGTCGGGGACTTCTGATACCGGTCTTGGATTTGGGACTGGCGGCCGGTCTGCGAATTCCGGGAGCGCTTCTGCGGCTTTGCCCTTGTCGATCGATGAGCGGCGCTCATTAGTGTTTGAGTGCTCAGTGTTGTGATAAAGCACCGCAGGCTCCGGATGCGTCTCAACGGCTTTGCCCTTGTCAAATGAAGAAGGGTACTCATTTTGAGGGGAGTATGTTGCATCATAATACCGCTCAGCCTCCGCAGTATCAACTGAGTCTGCATGTGAGAACCCCGTGTCGTGGTGTAATACAGCGGGTTCGGTCATGGGCGAGACATGATAATCCTCATCCACCTTCGTCTGAGTCGGCGAGTCAAAAGTAGACGCAGTGTGGTGAGTAGAGACCTTGGACTCGGTAGGCGGTGTTGCTGGTCTATGATTGCTTGGCGGATCGTAAATGTTGTCTTCCTCCTCAACCTCCGGAAGCGCGCCGGCCGCCGCCGCTTGCCTCTCGGCATCTCTATCCCGCCAAGAGAGATTCGAGCGCACACTGTTTGAACGGAGGGTAGAGGGCGTGGCCGGAATGATGTTCACAGCCGGAACCCCGCTCCTTGGTTCGACGGGTGAGTCGTCTTGGGCGTTATCATACCATCCAGGCTGAGGTTGCTGCTGTTGCTGCCGCCCAGACTGCGGATGGCCTTGGCCCGATGGCGATGAGGAAAAGAAGAGCTCTTGCTCCGCAATGGAGCTCGTCGTGTGACGCTCCCGTTCCTGTGCGGTGTCCATCTTTGGTGAGAAAAGAATGTTCTCTTTCTTGGCGATGCAGATGCAACGTGTTTCAGAGAAGATCTTTTCCAAGTTTTCGAGAATTCTTAGAGGTTCACACAAGCATGAAGAGAGAAGGAAGAGAGTTCTTTGGGTTCACTTTTTTGACAAAATAGGCGCGCATCACTGATCTGTCTCTGAACCTTAATATTGCGCCTCCCCATGAAGAAGGCGAACACACTTTCTCAGTCTTTTCAACGGCCTGGAAGGGAACGCGCAACACGAGCTGCGGCGTGGGCGAGGAAGGGGGCGGATGACGTGTTTTCAGATATTGAGGGTGTGGCGCAGTGCCATGGATTGTGGCACTGGCCCAGCAATTGGACTTTTGTTCTCAGGCATTCAAGGCGATGGATCATGGCCGATTAAACGAGCTTACCTTGGACGAACAAGGATCCAAGCAGCGGATATTGTGGCTAGAGAGAAGGCGTTTCATAGCAGAGAGGGGGCGATGCGTTGTTCATTGTTTGTTGGGTAAAGCATAGTGATGTGATCCTGGCCTCACTTGGATCTCGGGGCGGCCTATTCTCAAGAGTTGAGAAACCGTCACGTGATGGTTTATCGAATTGACTCGACGGGCATCCCGTTTGAAGTTCTTGTCGTTCGTGAAAACTCATATGAAAACTTGCCAAGTTAACCTTGGTGATGTCGTTCCCCGATAACCCGGAACCCCAAGTTCCGATACTGCTTCTCTGTTGAGGATGAGTATATATAGCGACTTGTTCACCAGAGAGCAGCCAAGGTCTTGGTGGGTTTCGAGTGGGTTGCGATACGACGGCTGGGCTAGGTGGAAACGCGGGCGAAGCCAGAAGCCCCGTGGGGATGCGACGTGTATTGGCAAAATAGTCCAATCGCTCAAGAGATTCAAAGTTGCGATTGAAGATGGTGAGGCCTCACCATCTTTTACGATGAGGGTTGAGAACGGTTGTTGTAAGTGACGTTCAGAAAGGCTGGCGCCTATCGCAACACCACCTTTGCCTCTCGGGGGTGGGCTTTCAGGGTCTGTAAATAAACCACGAGACCAAGGCAATATGTTTGAATAGCCAAGGAAACCCGTAATTTCCCTCCGATATTCTCCGTGCCTATCATGGACCAGGTCTCGCAACTCTGGATGCCGTTCGGAGTCAACGATGCGGGTGGCCCTTAGTACGAAGCTCCGTCCCGTCGCCCGCTATCCGCGTATAGGAACCACCAAATATAGCAGTTCATTTCATAAAGGTGAGAACTCGCCGTGTCAGTCAGTACCTTATTACCTTCCGTACGAACACGCCATTCATTAAGCGACTGATTAGCGGTGGTGGTCATGGTCTCGACATCGGCCGTGGCTGCAGACCGACGTTCAGCGCAGGAAAAGGTCCAAACCAAAGAAAAGTCTCCAACTCGAGGCGACAGCCAGCGTCCTGCGTGCGAAGGGACGATCCTTGCTGAGGCCCAGGGAACGTGTTTAAGCTTTCTTGAAAGAGTTACCGACGCTGCCGTGATAGCCGTGCGCTCGGTCAACCGAAGTCCAGCATACCTCTTCTACGACGGGCTTTAAGATGGGATTGCTGCGGTGCATTGTGTTACAGCACGACAGGCAGGGTGGCCGCGGATGCAGGCTTGGTCGGCCGCGGCAATGTTGAATCTAAGACAAAATAGTTGCAGGCGGTGCGGCGCGGTGCGATGCATGTCTGTCAGGGGAGCTTCTGGGAATTTGCCCCAAAACGATAGCTGAGTCATACTTGAGAATCTCGCCTTAGGTAAGCCGAACGGCAGCACGGTGGTTTTGCACCAGGGAGCGCCCGACCGGGCCCACTCCGGCCATCTCCACCCGGGGCTTCGATCCGCGAATAACTTCAACCCCCAGCATCGTTTTCCATTTTGGAAACCTGTCAGTGCTTGTCTCAAGCACCTCAAGCACCTCGACTCGCTCCGGTCTCTCCCGCTCCGTTCCATCACAAGTGGTTCTCTTCTTACGGATTTAGATCATGAAGTTGCTGTTCTCCAAGTTCAGACAAACAGAACCTGTGGTCTTTGCCAACGCCGTCGGTCTGAC